TGCCAGTTCCGAGACCAATCTCTCTTGATCAAAAGTCACTGAGCCCAACCAAGACTGGAACTCCTCGATATTCTTGGCTTGCACCATGGCTCTCTCTTTCGAGCTTCAGAGTTGGGCCTCGACCGAGGCTAGTTGAGCCTGGGCAATCTCCTTTTCAGAAGCAAGGCAGTCTATGTTCTTTTTCCACTCCTCGGCCCCCTCTTTCACTGCATCTACCTCGGTGCAAAACTGCCCAATCATATCGATCTTTTGCTGAACCTGCGGGACCGAACTGTTAAACTTCATGCCCAAATCAGTGTCATTAACTTCAAAGACTCTTTTACATGCTCGGACAAATTGGTTTGTTCTTTCCGAGTTGCTTCTAGCTTGGCTCGAAGTCCTCTTGCTTCTTCTTCCCTCAGCTCACTGAGAAGCTTGAAGGTATCTCTCTCCTCAGTAAGCCCTCGAACTTAGGCTTCGAACTGGCTTAGCTCCCCTCAGGATTGGAAAAATGCCTCGTGATAAAGCGCAGAAGCCTACAAAAAATAAAAAAGAGTTATACAAAAGAAGAAAAATACAAGTATGAAAGTTGACAAAGAGAAAGCGAACTTACCTGATTCAGGGCTTGCTGAGCTTCATTGAATATACGAGGAATCCCCGCTTTGCCCGAGCTCTTCTTCGAAGCCTCCAAATCGCTCGGACCGGTAGCATCTTCTACTCCAACAAAATAACCACGGAAAATATCTTCCTCTCCATGGGCTCCCTCCCCATGATAAACCTCCACAGCTTGGGCGTCATGTATCATAGACTGTGAAAATGAAGGAAAAGAAGGGGAATCGCCGATCTCTATTGCCACAATTATGTCTTTCGAGGCGCCGCCTCCATCTCGGGGAACCTCAAACTCGGTTCCTACACCATCATCAACCACCTCTTCGACGGATTCGTTGCCCTGAGGTAAAACATCCTCGACCTCCCTTTGCTCGGGAACTCGGTTCAAAGTATTATCCTCGACCTCGTCGGACCTGGGTGAAGCAAAATCAGTCCCCACCGGTCCCAAAGCTTTACAAATATCGGTGTCAGCCCGAGCACGGGCCACCAATCCAGAGTTATCTTCTTCTTCTTCTTCTTCTTCTTCTTCTTCTTCTTCTTCTTCTTCTTCTTCTTCTTCTTCTTCTTCTTCTTCTTCTTCTTCTTCTTCTTCTTCTTCTTCTTCTTCTTCATCCCTTAGATGCAGGACCGATTCCATAGTCAATGGGATTATGGTTCCCTTGGGATTTTGAACTGTCCTCTTCTTTGATTTTTGACTCTCGAAATCCGAAGTCCTTTTTCTTACTTTCCTTCAACGGCTTCGAGGCAGGCGATAAAACTTCCTCACCATCAGACGGGGGCCTCATGACCGCATCATTTCCGAGACCTGTGAAGGGAGAAGATAAGTAAACTCATGCTTCGAATAAACATATCACCTCGAACGACAAACGAATCGGTAGACCAAGATGAAAGCTTACCATGAGTACGAGCTTCCCATCGACCCTTTGACAAATCGCGCCAAGCACGCTAAGCATATATCGACGTCGAAACCAGGCTCCTGACCCAGTTCTCGAGATGGGGAACCACTCCCGACATCCAAGCAACAACTGTGTTAATAAAAGCACTGATAAGTAAAGATGAAGAAGTAAAAATTACAAAAGCTAAAAACTGAATCAAACTTACGATTCATATTCCATTTCTCGGGAAATGGCATACTCTCAACCGGGATTAAGTTTGAGGTCTTCACTCGGAAAAACCGGCCCATCCAACCCCGATCTTTTTCTTCATCAATACTCGAGGTGAACACCTTGGTGGCTCGGTGTTGGAGCTTTATTAGCCCCCCCACTAAAGACGAGGGCTATATAATCTTATTAGGTGGTCGAGAGTGAAAGGAAGCCGTCGATTTTGCTCACAAAAAAACAGAGCAGTATTACAATCCTCCAGAAAGAAGGATGTATTTGGCCGAGGGTTACTTGGTACTTTTTGCAGAAGTCGATGATGATCGGATCGAGGGGACCCAGCGTGAAAGGATAAGTGTAAACACTCAAGTACCCTTCCACATGGGTAGTGATCGCTTCTTCCGGTGCCGGTATCACAACCTCTTTGTTTTTCCAACCACAATCTTTCTTTACCAAATCAATAAGGCTTTGAGGTATCAAGCATATATATATCGATACCGGCTCACATCGACCAGCAACCGACGAAAGTTTCTCGACCTTAAAAGTCGGAATCGATAACACATCCCCCGGGAACGAGTTCTTCGAGGCGTGGCTCCACCACCGATTTCTCACCGGCCGACCAAGATGAAAAAACAGCTTCTTTCTGAGGAACAATTTTAGATATCTTGGCCATCTAAATTTTCAAGAACGAGGAAGATGGGAAATTGAAATATTTTGGTGTTTGACGAAGAACAAGCAAAGAAATTCTTAAAACTGGAAATAGAGAACTTTATAGAAGGCAAAGAGCTGTGAAGGTTGGAATAAGAAGAGTTGAAGGTAAAGGTTTAAAAAATGAAGAAGGGGGGCTATTTATAGATTTGGCAATGACGGTTCAAAATCAGCAGTGACCGACCATTGTCTGACGCACATTTAATGCCTTGATAACTGAACCGACGAGACATTTATCACATACGTCATAACCAGGCTCGACGCAAACGTCAGTGTGTATCTAGTTAGAGGTTGAAAAAATCATATCATTTCTCGCCACATTCTTTTCGAGAAACGAGGGGACTATCTGTATACGGTTAAAACCGATTTTGCCCTTCATGTATTTAGTCAAGATTGGAACATGATGGATCGAGGGTCGTCATCATAATATCGAGATGAGATCTGAAGTCAGGTTATCGAGCTCAAGATTCAGGGACCGATCAATACCGAGCTCGAAGTCAATATCGAGCTCGAATCAATACCGAGCTCGAGCCAATATCGAGCTCGAGATCCAGAGATCGACCATTATCAAAACCGGCCAAGATCGAGCTAAGAGACAAAGAGCCGTTGTAGCCGCACCAGGGGAGAGAATCTCGGCGAAAATTAAGGAAAAGTCAATTAACTAATCTATCATGGGATCCCCACTATGCATTTTTAATTATATCCAAAGTAGGATTTCTCCACTATATAGAGAGTGGCTATCATTTCTGTATGAACATATTGAACATTGAGACATTAATACATTCTCACTTCTAAAAGATTATTGATTTTACAGAGAAATATAACAGACATTATCCTTTTTTGGGCTTTGGATATTGATTCATCTTGCTTGTTTATACATCATTCTCTACTCAATTTAGTTTGTATTTCATTCCTTTTTTACGGTCAATATTCGATATGTTTCTACCTATTTTTTCGATTTGTACCAAGTTATACCACGTATCCTTAGAACTACATATAAATTCAACTCTATCCGTTTTTCGGGTAAACAGACTCAGAGGCGGATGTAGTGAACAACTAACGGGTTCAACTGAACCCATAATTTTCGACGCGGTGTAAAACTTTATATGTAAAAATATATTAAAACTGCAAAAATAGTGGATATGAACCCATAACTTTAAAAATACAGTGGGTTCAATGCTAAAAATCTTAAAAGTTGAACCCATATAATTTAAATCCTGGATCCGCATGTGGGTGGACTACTGGACTTTGATATGTTAATATAGTCTGGTCAATTGAAAGGTTATTAATCTTCTTAAAAAGGGGTATGCTTGATGCTACTACCGTTAATACTCAAACTTATCAATATGAGTTTATACTCCTACTCATATAGGAAATCAGCAAGAATCTTGACTAAATACGCTGCTAATATAAACATAGTTTACTTAGCTAACGTGAACCCTTCTCACATGCAAGCGTTGTTTGTTGCGCAATGCAACCTAAATGAACCTTTTTTAGAGTTCCCCTGCTTACTTTTCTCCTTTAAACCAGCTAATTTGACTCAACTATAGTTTTACGTCAGTTTATCTTCCTTGTTTTCGGTATTAAATTGTGCGCCATAATTTAGTTATGGAAGATTATATTAGTAATGCATGATTACATACTAGAAACTAAACATTGTACAAGTAACGCAGCGTTTTATACTGAGATTAAATTTCCGTATCCCTTAGACTAAACTACCCTAAATTTCTAATTATGTGTATTACGATTTTACATTTTCCACACTTTTTTCGTTCTAATGTATTCCAGCTTTCTCGCAATATAATATAGCTCCACTTTTCTCATTGCAACTCAAGTATTTTTTAATATATTATAGAAAAGAATTTGGTTTAATATTTATTACCCAAATTCCCACAACTAAAAAATTTCGGAGATTCATATGATGACATGGCGAGTTCTGGTTTTATGCGTGATTGTTTGGGCAAGCGTGAAAGAAGCAAAGTAGTCAAAAACACCCAACAAAAACACAAGCCGGTTAAGACGAAATAGAAAATTGACTACTTCTGAAATGACCACTCCCTCTCTATGGCAATGAGATTAGTGCTTTTAATTTATGGCATTATAATTCGAATGATGGTTTAATCTTCGCCATATTCAATCTACAATGACGGAAAAAACTTATTTACACCTTGTTTTAATTTACACTAATTTATTATTAATTATTTATGGTTAAATAATAATGTATTATTGTTTCGATTTATCTCTTAATTACGATAATATTGACATCATATTTGAGTAAGAATTTTCCCCATAAAAACCTACTATAAGTTTGTAAAAAGTAGCACATTTTCAATTCTCTATTATTTACTTCACTGCTTTTTACCAGGCAATTTTTCATTAACGAATTCGATGACTACCATGATTTAACAAAAAGCAAGAGAAAAGAAAAAAGAGAAAAAATTCTTCTTAACGATAACGAGTTTGTTAATAAATATTAAATAAAGGAAAACCTCAAACACATATATTATCTCCTCTTTCAATCCTCTTTTTCTGTCTAGTGTCTTTGCCAATGAAAGGCTGATGATTAGATAGGATCATTTTATCTCATCCTCCTTCAACCTTTCTTTTCTTGTCTGATAAGAACGAAAGCGCATGCATGCGTAATTATTATCTGTTTCAGTATTAATATTGTTACACTTTCTATATATATATATATATACATGCATACATATATATTTGATTGATAATATTGTTAGACAACTAATCCAATTCACACGCCATCACAGGAGGAAGGAGCTATTGAATCTGATGTCTATTTCTTGTTTTTGATTTTGATTTTCCATTCTTTTCAAGACTGGAATCAGAATCAAAGACGTGTTAATAAGCTGTTACCATAACAACAGCATTCTATTATTTTTTTCCCTCACACTTTTTCTCCCTTATTACAATTTGTGAGTAATCCAAGGCAAAGTACTCTTTCGCTCTTTTGTACTTTCTTGCCAAATCATAGCCTCTCCATTCTTTTTGAGTTTTGTCCCTTCTGGTCCCCCCCCCCCCCCCTCTATATATAATATCTATATCCACATTCATTATACTGTTGCAAAATATCATTCGTTTACATATGCACTGTCTCTTCAATGGTATCATCATAGCATTTGCTGGGCAAGAATTTGTACCTTCATTGTATTCATTTGTCCTAAAATCAACCCAAAGTTTCAATCATTATCATATTTTGGACCAGAATCAACCCAAAGTTTCAATCTTTAACATATTTTGAGCTACAATCAACCCAAAGTTTCATTCTTTACACATTTTGAGCTAAAATCAACACAAAGGTTTCATTCATTAATACATTTGAGCTACAATTAACCCAAAGTTTCAATCTTTAACACATTTTAGGCCAAAATTGCCAAAAGGGTCTTCACCAAAAGGCATCAATAATGGCACAATCCTTTAGCTGGTGGGGTAAAGAAATTCAAAGGGGTACCCCTGTGGTGGTGAAAATGGAGAACCCAAATAACTGGTCCATGGTTGAGTTACAAAGTCCATCAGATGATGATTTTCTGTTAACAAAAGGTGAAAAGGTGAAAAACAAGAATGCAAAGCAGCTCACATGGGTTCTTCTTCTCAAGGCACACAAAGCAGCAGGTTGCTTAACTTCAATTGCCTCTGCTTTGTTCAGTCTTGGCTCTGTTATCCACCGCCGTATTGCCACCGGAAGGACAGATTCTTCCACCGTTAATAGCCGGTTTTATATTTGTATAAAGGTCTTCCTTTGGTTATCTTTAATCTTGTTAGGTTTTGAAATAGCTGCATATTATAAAGGTTGGCACTTTAGTGCTTCAGAGTTTCAAATTCAGGGTTTATACACATTGGCTAATCCATTAGCTGTGAAGGGTGTGTTTGATTCTCTTTATTCCATGTGGGTTTTAATTAGGGTGGAGTATCTTGCTCCCCCTCTTCAATTATTAGCCAATGTGTGCATTGTCCTCTTTCTTATCCAGAGTTTGGATAGGTTAATCTTGTGTTTGGGTTGTTTCTGGATCAAGATAAAGAATATTAGGCCAGTTTTGAAAGAGGGTCCAGTGGATCTTGAGGCTGGTAATGGTGGTGGTTACTATCCCATGGTTCTTGTTCAAATCCCCATGTGTAATGAAAAAGAGGTAATTTGTTCTATTTTTCAATATTTTCTTGAATTTTCCAAATGTTGTCAAATTATTGAGTATTGGAATGAAAAGGGTCCAAATAGAATGAAATGGATATTAAGGATTCATATAATCGACCTTTATTAGTTTGGATTGAAGAAGAGTTATTGTCATCGTGTCAAATTTTGTTTTTATTGTTGGTCTGGAAATTGAGTGTTGGTGGCAATTGGTATCAGGTTTATCAGCAATCCATTGCAGCTGTGTGCAGTTTGGAGTGGCCTAAATCCAAACTGTTGATTCAAATTCTTGATGATTCTGACGATTCCATGACTCAGACGTTGATCAAAGAGGAGGTGCATAAATGGCAGAAGGATGGTGCAAACATTGTATATCGTCATAGGGTGATTAGAGAAGGTTACAAAGCTGGCAATCTTAAGTCAGCCATGAATTGCAGCTATGTCAAAGACTATGAATTTGTTACCATTTTCGATGCAGATTTTCAGCCATCACCTGATTTTCTTAAGAGAACTGTTCCTTATTTTAAGGTATTCAATACCCTCCAGCTCCAAGCTTGATTCTCTCCATGTGATGTTCTTCATTTCCTGTATAGAATCACATTGTGTGTACAGTATGTATGATTTGTTGATGCATTATTTATGTGTAAAATATGATCATGTAGTTTGTTTTATTAATTGTCTCCTTTGACATTGAATTGTAGGATAATGAGGACCTAGGGTTGGTTCAAGCAAGGTGGTCCTTTGTGAACAAGGAGGAAAATCTTCTAACAAGACTGCAGCTTATTAATTTGGCCTTTCATTTTGAAGTGGAACAACAGGTGAATGGGATTTTTCTAAATTTCTTTGGATTTAACGGTACTGCTGGAGTATGGAGGATTAAGGCATTAGAAGGTTCTGGTGGTTGGTTGGAGAGGACAACAGTTGAGGATATGGACATTGCTGTTCGGGCACATCTCCACGGGTGGAAATTCATCTTTCTCAATGATGTAGAGGTATTTCATTTCAAGACACTTTGTTCACCGATATTTGGTCACTTATTACTTCTAGCAAGTATCTGTTTCGTTTGAATCTGAAAGACTTTCTTGGATTTTCAGTGCCACTGTGAATTACCAGAATCATATGAAGCATATCGGAAGCAACAACATAGATGGCATTCGGGGCCAATGCAGTTATTCCGTCTTTGTTTGCCTGCCATCATTGAATCAAATGTATATACTTGGTTTCATTGCACTTGAAGAATATCTATCTATGTACGATAATTAGCACATTGTCTGACCATATTATGTTTTTAATTTTGTTTATGCAGATAAGCATTTGGAAGAAGGGAAACTTGATATTTCTTTTCTTCCTTCTAAGGAAGCTGATACTGCCATTTTATTCTTTCACCTTATTTTGTATAATCCTCCCCATGACCATGTTCATTCCCGAGGCTACACTCCCGACATGGGTTGTCTGTTACATTCCTGCCACCATGTCGTTTCTCAATATACTTCCAGCCCCTAAATCTTTCCCTTTCGTTGTGCCATACCTTCTCTTCGAAAACACTATGTCCGTGACCAAGTTCAATGCCATGATCTCAGGGCTTTTCCAGCTTGGAAGCGCGTACGAATGGGTTGTAACCAAGAAATCAGGACGTTCTTCCGAGGGTGACCTTTCCTTGTTGGTTGAGGAAAAACCAAAACATCAAAGAGGTATTTCGGAGCCTAATTTGGGGGACTTGAAGGAGGAAATCAAGAAGAAAGAACGCAAGTCCTCGAGGAAGAAGAAGAAGAAGCACAACAGAATATACACAAAAGAATTGGCCTTGGCTTTCTTGCTGTTGACAGCTTCAGTGAGGAGCCTCCTATCAGCTCAAGGAATCCACTTTTACTTCTTGTTGTTTCAAGGGATATCATTCCTGCTTGTCGGGCTAGACTTGATCGGTGAACAGGTTGACTAGTCGAATATGGATAGGCTTCATAGGGATATATTTATTTCAGCTGAACTGTCAAATCGGAAGACAGTACACTGAGCCTGGCCTTGGCGCGATATCTAAATTGGAAAATTAGCTGGGGAAGCTAAGTTCTAGAGAGATGATGGCGATATTGCCTCTCCTCCGAACTTTGAACTCCAAATACAACCTCAAAAAGAAGAGCAATTTTTGGTGGAGCAAATGTCCTGAAAGCGCGCTACATATTTTGAATGGAGAAATCCATCAAGAATGGTGATAATGTTCACCATTACAGTTAAGGCCCTCCCCTCTTTCTGTCCTGTTAATTTCTTAACATTATGGATTCATTTGTTATTTTTGGCATATTCTTTTGTAAGAAGAATTTGTTGTGGAAAGTTAAGCACTTAATTTAGTGAAACTTGAACACCATAGCAGCATGCATCTTTTAATTATATTTACACAACACATAAATCATTCTTTTTTCCTTCTCTTTGAGAATTCTTAATTTATGAAGGGAATTCATATCTCCTAACAATTGTAGCGAAAAGTTATTCTTGTAAATAAATGATTATACATTTCCACATAAATGATTGCAGTCCTGTTATTCAAGAATCTGTGTTATCCAGGATTTGTTCTTGCTAGATTCTGTAATCTTAAATGTGAGCTGTATCTATGATTTTCATTTTTCCAGGCAAAACACTCGGTTCTATCTGCATTCTCAAAATTTCTGTCTTTTATTAAGATTAAGAACTGCCTGATGATTTTAGGGATGGCAATTTGAGCCCAAACCCATCAAACCAGTCCAACCCGTCCAGAAATTAATGGGTTGGACTACAAACATTTTAGCTCATGGGTTTATTTGGGCTGAGCCCAAGTTAACACATTAATTTTTATAGTCCATTCTGACCCATGAAATAGCCCAAATACAACCCATGAAGCTCACCCCAAAATAAAGGGATTTCAACCCAACTTATCTATAAATTTACTTAGTTGCCACATCATTAGTTTTTGTATCTAAGTTTAAAAATGAGAATCAAGGTAT